TAATAGGTGCTCAAGACATCACTGGTGATTTGATTGAGCTAGAAAAATGTGAGCTCTAGAGAATACTGGTTTGAAAGTTTTACTCAACCAATATTTGGTATAATTATTATTTATATATTTTTTTACTACTAAACAACTCTTCTGCAGATCTACCCAAGGGTGTGCAGAGAACAGGACACTGAACCATTTGATCGAATTACACAAATGTCCCTCAACAGCATTTTCTGATCTAATATACAGTGTTTCTTATTGGTGAAGAATAGGAAGTCCTAGTGTGCTAAAAAAGAATGATTGGGTAGTCAAAATAGGTTGGCATTCTTGATTTGTGGGTGTACAGATTTCTGAAGTTAATCACATTTATTTGGAACATTTGCATTACTCCTAGCCAAAAGAAGCCTATTTTAAGATAAAAAGTGCTTAACTAAGCACACCTTGGAGAAAATAGAAGAAGAAATTTTTTTATTAGTCCTACATCCTCCCCCTCTCTCAAATGTAATGAAACAACAAATGAAAAAAATCAGAGATCTTCAAATACCATTCAGTCATTTGGAGAGGTCATTGTGTTTATAATCTAAATGGAACAAACTGAAGAACTACATGTTCAAAATCTATTTTTTAAAAAACAGCAAACAAGCCAGAATGTATTGAAGGCAGCCATCATGGTACAGGAAAAGGGAGAATTGGGCCAGGTCTGAGCAGGTGTGAAATCTGACGTTAAAAATAAGAGCTACGCTTTTCTGAGTCCCTAGTGTACACTACGTCCTGCACCAGGCACTTAATCAGTTCTGCAAAGAGTGAGGATTCTTGAGCAAGTCATTTGACCTCTGCTTTTCCTTTTTTTTTATCCTATTGGAAGTAAGGACCCTGAGCCTGAGTCCTGCAAGGCAAAAAACTGAGAAGCAATGTTTTCCTCCTACATAACAGAAGGTTAGTATTTTCATTTCTCTTCTGTTCTCTTTCTCTTTTCTACCATTCTCTCCTTGTCTCCCCCCCCCCATATAGTTAAAATCAATAAAATGGATAAACATAATAGGAATGTCAGAAAATCATTAAAGGGAAAAATACAAAATATTATAGAATTATTATCATTTAATAGGGAACTCCAATCAGCTTAATAGTAACACATTAAACTGATCATGTCTTTTGTCTAATTGGCTATGAACATATTAGATATTGATTCACTAAAAGCAATGATGCTGTAGATTTGGGGAAGAGGGCATTTGACTCAGTGTTGTTGAAAAGGTAAAGTGATACAGGAAGAACAAGATTAAAGTCTTAAATCCGTACATAATGCCTGATCTAGCAATCCTAATGTCTGAACTTTTTTTATAATCAAATAAATGTATAAATTTAGGTAAGATATAGATTTAGGATTTCATAAAAATTGAATTGTAGTTTTTAACATAGAAAAGTAAAGATAAATTATTTAACAGACAATATTAGATAAGTTGGGACACTTGCATAATGACATGTCAATATTGGAATAGAATAACAGCCACTTTGTGATATGTGGTTGAGGAGAAAAAGAGTGTCACCATTATATGATCCCATTAAAAGCAGAAATGCTTTTTTATTTTTATAATACAAAATTATATTAAAAATTCTAACCTTCAGAAGTGCATGTAGTTTAAAACAAAAGACCCTTTTCTCAGCCCTGGATCCATTTCCCAAAGGTCATCATGAATCCATTGTCTATCATTCAGATGGCTTCTTCCAGCCTTTTTAAATGTGTATATTGATACATGCATACACATACGCTCACTGTTACAGAATGACTTTTGAGATACAGATACTGCCACTTGGGTGGCAGGGACCCAAGGACCTGAGCCTTCACATGCTGCCTTACAGGTGTGCATTAGCTGAAAGCTGAGATGAGAAACACGGTAGTCAGGACTCAAACCAGAAACTCCAATGTGGAGGGTGTCCCACGTAGTGGCTTCAAGTGCCTGCCTCACTCCCCACTACGTATTTCAATTGGCTTAGCATTTTCTGTACCAGAAATCAGAGAGACAGGAAAAAGAAAAGGAAGAAAGAAAGCGACAAAAGGAAGATTGGGAGAGAAAGAATGAGAGTTGCTGTGGACAAAGATGATGAAAGTCTAGTGATAGAAATATTCCCCCTTCTCTGTTCTTCCACCTCTGATGTTGCTGGAGTTCTGGAAGTTACAGTGGCTGTGGGGCTTACCATGGATGTGCAGAGGTTGACATTGACTGGTCTTGCATTCCCAGGGTAATTTTTGTAGATGAGAGTCTCACTGATGACAGCATTTGGCTTATCCCGATGACATAACAGTGAAGTACATTGCAGCAAAAGTCGCATCTCTTATTTAACCAACGTCCTGGTGGTGAGTGTTCTGATCTGTGGAGACTATAGAGCTTCTCAACTTTACAAACACCTGGAGAGCTAGTGACTATGAAAATCCCTGCATGGTTTCCCCAGAGATTTGCTTTATTAAGTTTGTGTTGATTATGAGAATCTGCACTTCCAACAAGCTTACAGGTGATGCTCATGTGCTAATGAGCACAACAACGAAAACTACTGGAATAGGGGCGACTTATACACACAGATGCATGCTGCTATGTAGTTAGTGCTTAGGCAAATGAAAGAAGCTAGTATTATCTCTAAGTGGAAGTGGGCATATGAAGGAAATAATATGAGATAAACTTGCTTTTCACTCCTATCTAAATCTTTTTTGGTTTGAGTATGCTACTATTACCTATTCAAAAAATGAATTAAATATATAACTCCCCCCAACTCCCAGTTAAATATAAATGCATATACTTTTGACCCAGCTATTTAATTTCTAAATGGGTTGATACCAAAGATATATCTAAACATGTACATAGAACAAAAATTATTCATTGCAACTTTTTTTCTGTAGCAATAGATTACCAAAATTGAAAGTTCATTAGTAGAGAACTGGTGAAATAAACTATACAGATTTTTTTAGTGGAATAATATGCAATAAAAAAGAATGCAAAGTAATAATGTACTTATATGAAACTTCCTCTCTGACATCATATTGATTGGAAGTGTGCGTAAAGGAATATGTATTATGTTAATATTATATAATTAGAGAAGAGATATATTTGTAATTTAGCTTAAATGTATATAAACTACCCTGGAAGAATACAAAAGGATTGATATCATTGATTGTCTCTGAGAAGGAAAATGAATATAGAGCATTGGAGTTAAAGAATTTTTATGGTATATTCTTTTGTATCTTTTGAATTAGGTAATTATGCTCCTATCACCTAGTAAACATTCTTCAAAAAAATACTTGGTAGATGCCTTCCATGTCAAGAAAAAAGAATCACATAATTTTTAAAATGAACAACTATTGCCTTCTATGGGTTTACCATGTTAACCAATTCTCTGCTGATGAAAACTTAGACTGTTTCCAATTATTCACGCTTGGAAGAAGCCTATGGTAAATATCCTTGTGTGCTCTTTAGCTCTGGGTTACTGCATTGGTATACTTGTTGACAAGCTACTTATAAAGGAAAAAGAGATTTATTTAGTTCATAGTTTTCAAGGTTGAATGTCTAAGTGCCACAGCTTTGGTTCTTGAGAGATGATGGAGTTGTGTTCAGAGGAAGGATCGCTTGGTGAGCCAGGAAGCAGAGAGAACTGGTGGAACAAACTCAGGCTTTATAACAAACTTCTCGTGGGAACCCAAGAAGTCACTCAAGAAATACCTTCCAAAGGCACACCTTCAATGACCTAAGAACTCGCCAGAGGGTTCCATGCCCCCACAATATCCTCACCCTGGGAGCCAAGCCTTCAACACATGGGCCTTGGGAGAACACTCAACATCCAAACTATAGCACCTTGAGCAGGTTTTTGCACATACATGCCATATTTTTTAGCAGAATATTCTTGGAATTGTGTGAAAATACATACATTTAATTTTGATATTTATGGCTGGCTAACTAGTTAATCTTCTTGTTATTGTTACTGGTAACAGCTTATTGTTCAGAGGTCACAGACAGTTCTGTTTGTGTATGGATACATTACCAAGTTGAGCCAATGAGACCAGGCTTATCCAGTTGTTGAGGTATGTTTATTTCTCTGAAATGTGTCTAAGAAGTGTCATTTTTCTTGAAACTCACTCTTTCTTGTTTATTCCCTATTTAATTATGACACTACCCACTTACTCCAACCAAAACACAGTATTTTTGAATGAATAAATACATTTCTTCTCCCAAGAAATATTTCAGGGATAAGGGTGAGTATAATTAGGCTATATAACACCAGCACTTCATCTTACATTGTTTATCTTGCTTTCTCATTATAAATATATTATGTTTTTAATGAATTAAGTTGTTATCATGATATAAATACTCCCTTTGCATTTCATGTGTGATGTGGCAGTTACTTCTATTTTAAATAATTTTATTATTTTGCTAGAGAATGTAAGGTATACATCTTAGGCAAGGTTTGTCTCTTTATGCTTAAAATCAACCTGAATCTGAAGGAAAAGAGGGCAAGTATCCCAGTTTATTGAAATCAATAGAGAAGTTATTTTGCTTGATTTATCTTTAATTTAATGATATAATTAAATGTCATGCAGAAACCTGACATAATATGAATTTTCTGACATTCTCCCATGATGAGATGGCTGTATGAATTTATATCATTTCACTAATTAACAATGATATTTTACTTAACTGCATATAAAAGATATGCTATATATGAAACAATTCTATGACATTCTAAAATTGTTAAATCAAAATCCTCGTTAGTTTCCTTTGTTAAACCTTAGCTCTTAAAGCTTCAAGGTCTGTTCTGTGTGATGTTGATTTGCAATGCAAGTTTGTAATTTCTACTCTCTTTTTTTTTGGGCTATCAGTGAAAGCCTTGGGAAATGCTGATGCTGGCCTATGGCATCCAGCTAACGCCCAGTATCTCAGTGTTATGAGATGAAGGTCAAAGCGACCATTAGAGAATGTTCCAGTTTTTAAAAAGCTCAGATGAAGAATTCAAACAACTAAAAATAAGACTGAAGTTACTCTTTTATTCTCAAAGCAATCCAAAATTGAGATGGTTGGCACTGGACAGAATTCCACAGAAATGCACTTAGATACATGACATGAGATAACAGAAATGGACTTGGATACATGGCACGTGGCATAAACCCCAGCAAGAACTCTGAAATGCTATCTTGTCATTTAGCATTGCTGCATTAAAGCACCAGTTGTAAGATATAACCACTTCTGCAAAGGATTCTAACATTTTTTCTTTGTATAGTAAAGAGACTTAAATTTTCTTAGATCTTCATTGAGCTCTAAAGGCCTTTTATGAATCCTTGTAAATTTTATGTTATACAACAATTTCTTAACAATCACCACATTTCATAAAGGAGATAGGATTGCCAAAGGGATTCATATGAGAAGGCACTTATGCCTTTTACACACAATCTATATTATCAAAGAAATAAATTACTGATACCTAAATTTTTGTTACTTTTATGGTGTAAATGTGAATCACCATATTATGATTCTTTTGTTGGTTCCACATTTAGTTCTATTCTTTTCCCAGAAATACCTTCGATAAAATAGGTGCTTTCCTTTAATCTTCTATAACAGGAAGGAGAACAGACATGAAACATAATAGGAAGCTGTGAGGTTCCAAAAATATCACAGGAACGGATGATCCGTAAACCTTCACCGAACATGGGGCCGTGGCACCAGTCACACCTGGATGTGCTGGCATGGAGAACAAATCAAGTCAGAATTTACGAAATTTCTACTAAAGTAAAAATGCTCTGATTGCTGCTATGCAAGACAGAAGGAATACAGAATATGGCTTTTACCTTCATTGATATTATTATTTAGAAGAAGTGCTTTCTATCAAGTGAAAAATAAAGTAGATATATGTGGAATATAACCCTAGCTTTCTAACATAAAAAGTATATTATGCATAGTAAGAATAGACACTAAGGATAGATATTCAAATGAAAACAGTTGCTATCCTTAGAAAATGTGATCACAATGAATTTTAAATTTCTTTACAATCTTTTTTATGTTTTTCCAAATTTTCTATAAAAATGTTATTTTTATAATTCAAACCAAATAAATTTTTTAAAAACTTTATTGAAATATAATACACTACCAAGAAATGAACATAGGTATACAGATAAATGAGTTCTTTTTGTCATCTGGTCATACTCATAATCAACTCCCAAATTAAGAACAAAGAATTTATTTGAAAGACAAAGTTACAGAGAGAGGTAGAGCCAGAAAGAGAGAGTCTTCCATCCGCTGGTTCACTCCCCAAACGACCACAACGGCCAGAGCTGAGCTGATCGGAATTCAGGAGCCAGGAGCTTCTTCTGGGTCTCCCACATGGGTGCAGGGGCCCAAGAACTTAAGCCATCTTCTGCTGTTTTCCCAGGCCATAGAAGAGCTGGATTGGAAGTGGAGCAGCCAGGACATGAACTGGTGCTCATATGGGAGGCCGGCACTGCAAAGGGCAGCTTTAACCCACTTCGCCACATATGATAGATCTATTTTTAGTTTCTATTTTTAGTTTCCATACTGTGTTCCATAATGATTGTACCAGTTTGCATTCCCCCAACAGCATATTAGGGTACCTTTTTTCTCTACATCCTTACTGTCATTTGTTATTTTTTTATTTTTGGGTGATAATCATTCTAACTGGAATGGGGTAATAAATCATTGTGGTTTTTTATTTGCATTTTCCTGATGACTAGTGATCTTGAACATCTTTTCATGTATCTGTTGGCCATGTGTATTTCATCCTTTGGAAAATGCCTGTTCATTTCCTTTGCCCATTTGTTAACTGGGTTGTTTGTTTTATTGTTGTTGAGTTTTTTGAGTTTCTTATATATTCTGGTTATTAATCCTCCATTGGATGCATAGCTTGTGTTTTCCTTTTTTTATAGTTATGTGATTTATAATGTAAATTGACTTACATTTTCATAATGTTTCTATTGATTTCAGCCTGAAATCTCAGAAGTATAATGTGAAATAGTATTCCCACTTACTTGCATATTTACATTTAATAAAAATATAATATACTCTTTGAACCACTAGGTAAATACTTGTGTTTGATTTTTATTTCTATGCATTATACTCTGTCAGGTAAAAATTCAATAAATTGAGTTGTTTTTTCAGTTACCCTGATGAACACAGAATTGAAGTAATTCTGTTTTTTCCTCTATATGAATATAGACAAGGGTTATTAAAAATAATCAAACCACAAGATGTCAATTTCACTCATCTATATTGAAGTGGTTTTTTTTGCTGTATATTAGCTATCACAAATCAGAAAAACATATAGGCTATTTGTCTTTTGGGGTCTTATTTCCCTAAATATAATGGCCTGCAGTTGTGTCCATTTTGTTGCAAAAGGATTTCATCCTTTTTATGGCTGGGTAGTATTCCATCGTGTGTGTGTGTGTGTGTGTGTGTGTGTGTATACCACATTTTTTATCCAGTCATCAGTTATCTGGGTTGATTCCATATCTTAGCTATTGTGAATTCACTGCTATGAACATGGAGGTACAGATAACTCTTGCATATGCTGATTTCATTTCCTTTGGGTATACTCCCAGCAGAGGGAGGCTGGATCATATGATAGATCTATTTTTAGACTTTTCCAAAATGGGAAAAAACACAGAATTTCATTTCACTGATCTTTGTGTTTTTTTTTTTTTTAATTTTAAATTCTATTTGTTCTGTAATTTTTATTTCTTTTTTCCTACAAATTTTGAATCTGATTTGTTTTTGTTTTTTAGGTCCTTGAGATGCACTAATATATTATTTGATACCCTACCAATTTCCTGATGCAGGCACTAATTGCTATAAACTTTCCTCTTAACACTGCTTTTGTTATATCACATATGTTTTGATATGTTGTGTTGTCATTCTCATTTGTTTCAAGGAATTTTTTGATTTACCTTTTGATTTATTCTATGACCTACTCTTCATTCAGGAGATGTTGTCCAGTTTCCATGTGTTTGTAAATTTTGTAGAATTTCTTATGTTGTCAATTTCCAACTTCATTCCATTGTGGTCAGAAAATATACATGGCATGATTTCAATTTTTTAAAAGATTTTGAGACTTGTTTTATGACTTAGCATATGGTCTATCCTAGAGGATGTTTCATGCACTGTTGAAAAGAATGTGTATTCTGCACCTGTGGGATGAAATATTCTATAGATATCAGATCCATTTGGTCGATAGTGTTTCTTTGTTTTTTTTTGTTTTTGTTTTTGTTTTTGTCTAGTTATCCATCCATTTAATTAAAGTGGGGTGTTGAAATCTCTCATTATGATTGTATTGGAACATATGTCTCCCTTTAGATACAATAACATTTGTCTTAAATAGCTGGGTGCACTAGCATTGGGTACATACATATTTACAAAATCACATCTTCCTGTTAAGTTGATCCCTTAATCATTACATAAACACCTTCTTTGTCTTTTAAGTTTTTGTCTTAAAGTCTGTTTTGTCTGATTTAAGGTAGCTATGCCTGCTCATTTTTATTTCTATTTGCATGGAATATCTTTTTCCATTCTTTCACTTTCAGTCTGTGTGTATTTTTGTTGGTAAAATGTGTTTCTTTTAGACAACATATAGATGAGCCTTGTTTTTTTTTAATGCATTCAGCCAGTCTGTATATTTTAATTGGAGCATTTAATCTATTTACATTCAAGGTTATCATTGATAAGTAATGACTTGGTCCTGCCACTTTCCTATAAATATTCCTTTTGTTTATTTTGGATTTCCTTTATACTATTGGTAGGAAGTTTTCTGCCTTCCAATTCTTTCATGATGCTGATTATCTTTCTCTGTTTCTTAAGTATCATTTGTCAGGCTGGCCAGGTGGTGATAAGTTATTTAAATTTTTGTTTGGCTTAAAAGGTCTATTTTGCCTTCCTTTATAAATTAAAGCTTTTCTGGATACAGTATTTTTGGGTTGACAGTTTCTTTCTTTAAGGACTTGGTATATATCTCTCCATTCTCTCCTACTTTCTAGAGTTTCTGATGAGAAATCTGCTGTCAATCAAGTTAGAGATCTTTTAAAGGTAATCTGACATTTCTCTCTTGCACACGTTAGTATATTATCTTTGTATTTTACTTTTAAAAATTTTAATATAATGTGTCATGGTGAAGACTCTTCTCTGATCATGTCTATATGGGGTTCTATGTGCTTCCTATTATTTGTATGTCTATATCTTTCTCCAAATTTTAAGGACATTTTCTTCTATTATGTCACTGAATAAGCTTTATAGCTCATTCTGTTTTTCCATTCCTTTAGGAACACCCAACAGATGTATATTTGGTCATTTGATGATATCCCATTGATCCTGAACACTGTTTTTATTTCTTCTAATCTTCTCTTCTTCTTTTTTTAATTGAAATATTTCAAAAAATTTGTCTCTACCTTAGGTATTCTTTCTTCTTCCTCATTAAATCTGTTAAGTCTTTCCACTGTATTTTTTGTTTGAAATATTCAATTCTTTATTTCCAATATTTCAGTTTTGTTTTTCTTTATTATCTGTATCTCCCTACAGAATTTTCCACCCATGTCATGTACAGATTTCCTTAATTCTTATAATTCCTTTTCTGTGTTTTTGGATAATCTTACAATCATTATTTTGAATTCCTTTTCAGGTGATTTGTCAATCTCTTCATTTTTGCAGAATAATATTGAAGTACTATTTTTTTCCTTTTGGAGAATCATATTGTCTTCCTTGTTCATGTTTCTTGTATTTCTATGTATAGTTTTATGCATCTGGGGAAACACTTGCTGTTAATTCTTCTGAAGGCTTTCTTCTTGGGAATGTGCCATATGTTTTACTGGAATGCCTGAGGTTTACAGCTGATATCTCAAGGTGTGTGCTGGTTGGTACCAGGGAGCTCTAACCAGTGTTTGTGGGTGGGGCAAGAGTCCAGAGTGACATCCAAGTTGGCCATGGTGAATCTCCTCTATCCTCAGTAGATGGAGAGGATAGTTTCATTGGTTGGTGTGTTCTTCTCTGAGCCAAGATAATTGCTTAGTGTTAGCTAAAGGTGTCCGCACACCCCATCCCCTCAGCACATGAACCTCACAAAGGATCTATGCCCTCTGTAGTGTGAGTGATGAGCCCTCTGCAAGGTCCCTGCCCAGCATTCAGGGAGTTCTGAGCTTCTGGAGTGACTGAACGCTCAAAGTCCTAGGCACACCCACACCTTCTCACTTTCCCAGCCTATGTATAACACAGTAATAGGATTTCCACAGTCACAGGGTGCAGGGCTTTCACAGTCACAGAGAGCAAAGAAGTCACTCTGCCTTGGGAGCCTCCCCAACTATGGAGTGAACTGCCCATCCCCTGAGCAAGCTATCTCCTCAACAAAGACTACTGGTGTTCTGTTCTAGCAAACTGAGCATGGTGCTTTGGTGGCAGGAGTGGAGGGAAGACATGTTCCATTACTTCCTATAGCTAACTGGGTACCCTGTTCCCAGCCAGCTCTCCAGACTGGAATTAAAATCAATGGGGACCATGGAGTTCCCCCTCAGATAAAATTCACTAGTGGCACAGGGGCTGCTGCAGCCTACAAATACCTTACTCTGGGTAGATGGTATTTCCTCTGCCAGCTTCTAGGTGTTTTCATGGAGGGAGGGAAGAAGGGAAGGAGTGTTATTTTTCTTCCTGATGCTAGGTGGGTGCCCTGCTTCCCACCAGTTTTTCAAGCT